AAGGAGACTGATGTGGATTCTGTCCTGGTCCTGGATCAGCGGACCAGCTGTTTACTCCTGCACGGGTCCAGAAGGTGGACTTGGAGAGGGTTTATGACAGACCATCATCATCATCAGCATCATTTAAACATTGAATGTGACAAAGTGAAAAAATAAAAACAAACGGCAGATAATAAATACTTTTTATTGATCAGTTGAACAGAAGTTGATTGACAGCATGCTGAACAGAGCTAAGGCACATGAAGCTGTGAGGTCAGAGGTCAGGAGGCCTCAGACTGGTTACCTGCTACCTTTGACACATTGGTTTTAAAAACACACCTGATCAGGTGAGACACCACATCATACAAATAAAACAAACTATGATTCAGTCCAATCAGGAAGCGGCTCACCCGGACAGAGATAAAACACTGCTGACAAGTCACCTGGTTGATCACCTTTCTGACAGGTCACCTGATTCAGGTGAAAGCAGGAAGAGGCGGAGTCAGAGCTCAGGACCTTTCATCAGCTCTTGGCCTGTTTCCTCTTCTGAACGAGCTCAGCCAACATCTTATAACGAATCATACATTCCTCCTGAAAAAAAACAACACACACCAATCAGTTATCAATCAGTCAATAATCAATTAGTAAACAGACACGTCGCTGGATGTGACCAGGTGTGTCCCCAGGATTCAGTCCCGATGACAACATTGTTTTATACGGTTTCCGAGTCATCTCACAGACAATGATATTAATCTATTATTACTCAGATACCAATCTGACATCAATTAGAGGATTCTGTGGTTCTGATGAAACCGGTTCAACTGCGTGCCCTCTCAGAGCGTGTTTGCTGCTGTGCTCTGATTGGATACTGCTTGTCTCCCATGACCTCATCAAGGTTTTGGCCACAAAGAACTTGACGGCTGACGATCATGTGAAGGTGATCAGGTGACCCAGACAGGTCTTTACCTTGAACAAGCAGGTCCATCCTGAGGGGCACGAATCTGGATTTCATACCGACTTGAGTGTCGTAATCTGCTGCAGGATCCAGATCTGCCACTGACCCTCATCATCGCCACTATTCATTTTATTATCATTATTAATTGCAGCTGTTGTTATTAAGTTACTTACTCTGTAGATGATGCAGTGTTAGCCCCACCCCTCCAAGAAATGAAAGAAAAAAGTCATTCAAAATGAAAAAATTAAACAACCAAAACATTTTACTTATGTTATTTACCTAATGTGTGTGCACTCGTTTAATCTGAGCTCAGTGAGAGAGTCTCTACTGTCATTTACTCTGAGGACAACTCGTCAGCTTCGAACACTGCGCATGAGAGTTTTTAAACACAGTCACTGTGGTGACGGTGGAGAGGACGCAGCAGTGGACCCAGCTGGACCTTGACCTAACCCTAAGTGGAGCAGGAGCTTCATCTGCTGTCCTGGTCTGGACTTCTACAGGTTTAGTAAAACAGTTCATCAAGCATCTTACAATCAGACTGTCAAGTGAACAGGTAGACTGTCTACCTGTCTGTCAGTCCTCACCTTGGTCTTCGCAGGGACCACCTTGGCGATGCGGTCCCAGCGTTCTGCGGTTCCTCGGGGGAACTGTTGCAGAGCAAGTTCCAGCAGTTTCTGTTGGTTCTGAGTCCAGGCAGCAGGGTCTGCCTTCTCCCTGCTTTCGTGAGGCTCCGCCTCGTCATCCTCCTCCACCATGGCTGGGTCGAAATCTCTCTGCCGACGACCTCTGACCTTCATCTCTTCCCCTCTTGCTGCTGCCGTCGAAGACTTCCTGTTCCTCCTGCGGACTGCTGGAGCTGCTTCCTCCTCTTCCCCTTCCTCTTCCTCCACACAGGCCCCTCCCAGCCTCTGCGTCATAGCACTGTCAGCAACAGGAAGTGACCTCACAGGAAGATGAGGGCCCTTTAGGTCTGACAGCTTCACCAGACCTGAAATAGAGCAAGGTTAACTTCAGCTGACAGTAGAAGCCGTAGAACCTGACACTGGCAGTAGAATCAGTTACAGTAGAAACAGCCTTCACCTGATGTGTGGCTCACGTTGTCTTTCGCCTGTTTGACTTTAGTCGTCACCTGTTGAAGGAAAAAGATTCTGTTGGTTTCAGTTGTTTAAAGGAACAGTCCCACATTAAATCAGGTTTCAGTTTCAGATTGAGGATGAGATTGCCTAGTTTAGCACAAAGGCTTGCTCCTAGCACTAGCTCCTAGCCTTTTGTTTACTGACTCCTTCAAGAACCAACACCTGAGCATGGTATAAGGGTTTGTATACCACCATGACCCTGGGAGGGTGAAGGAGGTAAACTGGTTCTGGATGAAATACCAGATTTTGAGAAAAGGTGAACTCTTCTGGATTAGAAAGACAGAGGATCTTTCCTGGAGCCAGGTCTCGGAGGGGAGCTCACTAAGGTACACCTGTTGGTCAGGGACACACCTGTGTGGATCCCTGTGGTTCACCCCGCTGTAAGGCTGGAGTTACCCCAGGCTACAAAAACTGGTTCTATGGATGTGCAATGTCACCACTGTGGTGGAGAAGGACCCAGAATTGATGCAAGGGGTAGAGGGACTCCAACTAGATACAGACTGGATCACCTCAACACACAGTACTGGCTCTTGAACCATAATCTAGAGAGGAGCTGACCTTTCCAGAACCGCCCAGGGTGAAAGACACCAGAGGTTTAGGGAGGCCATGGAGGAGGACTTGGCCCCAAAGAGGTTCTGGTAAAACATCACATAATTCAGGAGGGGGAGGCAGATCTTAGTGCAGACTATGTTCAGAGAAGAACAGCTGACCTGTAGTGATGATACTGTCAGACAGTAGCAGAAACACTTTGAGAAACTGGTCTGAAGTGAACTGGACTTGTCCCCATGGAGGAGGCAGAAATCTGGAAAAGTTGTTCACTCAGCAGTGAAAAATAAATC